AGGACTGAAATAAAAATGTACATGTTTAGGTAGAGCGGATATCTGAATAATTGTTAAGAACAAACAACAGAAGGTTAATAACTCGCGGCTCCACGCAACTTGTTTGCAAACTATGACTTAATTCAAACTCTTTGTATTTTTTCCACAAATGAAGTAATCTGAAGACTCTGTTTCATCAAGAAAACTCTTATCTGGTGAGACACAGAAAACGGAGATCCTGGAAGATATAACAAGGGGCTCCCACAAAAGTACTGGAAGTCAGTCATATTGAATCTACTCAGATTACCTCCAGAACCTTCCATTCCTCCTCGAACAACTGGCGTAAATCTGCCATGAAATAAGGATGAGGCTCTGACTAGGCCACCGTAGTTTTTAAAACGTATCATTTAATTGTAAACATGAACAAGAAACCACCAGTAAGAAGGACTTGTTGTTTGAAGGCGAAAATGCTTTAGAGCAAAAACAGAGTCAGTGCGCTTAACAGGTCTGTTTCATAAATGCTTAAAATAATTAATTTGACCCTATACAATATTCTATTTAAATTGTACTTATAGGGGGGTACAAATTTTAAAAAATAATTCTCAATTACAGAAGTAATTTATGAACACATTGATCTTCTAATCATGGAGACAGGCTACACTTCTATTTTACTATCATCTCAAAACAATGCCCTAGATATTACCACTCTCAGGTTTTTGTGGTGAATTATTCCAGATCATAAGCATTCTTAAACAGCCATGTATCCGTATAAAATACATGGTTTGGCAGCTTCTTAGGGACCAAGACTTATCTGCTACCATCTACTGGGCCTCCTCCTCTGTCCCCTGTCCTGGGGACATGGGGAAAAAGTCGGCGCACGCAAATCCCCAGTGATGGGGAGACCATCAGCAACCTTATAGAAGATGTGTGACCTGAGGGATGAGAATAGAGCAGAAAGGAGGGAGCAAGTGTTCTGGAGATGCGGGGAACGCTGGAAAGTCAGAATATGGCAGGGAGCGAAGCCTGGCATCCTGCAGACTGGGGATTTACCAAAACGGCTTACTACGACTATTCTCAGCCCGCCTTCGCTCAAGCCGTGAGCTGGAAGCCAGAGTTACCTTGAATCCATCTCCAGGAACGTCACCCCGAATTGTCTTCCGCCCCTGGGGCTGCCTGGGGATGGCCAGAGCAGCGGCTCCGTCTACGACTGATTAGAGTCAAACCCTTCCTGAGAATCCTCACTTGATTCCAGATCTTCCTCTCCATCCTCTCTTTCTTTTCTTGCTCTCTCTTTTCTCCGTCTCCTCCTTTTCTTCCCAAGATGCAGTTAGGAAGGGGAGTCCAAAAGAGCTGTGCTACTTAAGGGTCACTGGCGGACGGTCTGGGTAAGCAAGCCTGGGATCAGAACCCGCCTGCAACGGGACGTAGTCAGCGTGACTCTCCTTCTTCCACCAGGTGAATTATCAACATAAGAAGACACCCACTCCAAGAAGCAATCTGCTCAGACTAATAAAAGAAGCTGTAAGTGCCTTTGATCAAAGCTCACACTATGATGCAGAATCTATGCCTTTCAAGTTCTGCAATCCGAATAAAAGGGCTTCAGATGGTTACATTACAAGATATAGATCGAGTTAAATGCAGTGGAAAGAACAGCATAGCAAGACGTAGATGCCGGTATCAGCAAAGCGGCCTTTCCACTGAAACTAAACATTAACCGCACCTAATACCTTGATCAGTATGCCGATCTGCAAGGCTCCATTTCCTCATATCTCAAATGAGGTCATTACCGTTCACCCTGCCGACTTTCCTTTTTCCGTGTATAGTTGTTATTAGGTTTAAATCAAATAAAGCCAAAGCTCTGAATAGTAACACATTCTGTAGATGAGAGGAATCATCATGTATAAAATATTAAAATTTCCAGTGCCTCACACACTGACTCCAGACCCAAACTACAGGGAGAAAAAAATAGCAGGGGTGGATCCTGAAACAAACCCAACAGCACCGAAGGGGAGACGTCTCTCTCTCCGCATCTGAAACAGGAGAGGCCATGGAGTTGCTACAATGTACAAAAGTGGGAGAATGTGGGGCTAGGACCCCCTGCTGACGCCTCAGAGGCTTCCCTGCACAGAGTCTGATTTACATAAAGGAGCGGGAAGCTCACACTATGAACACCTCCAGGACCCATCAGAGAGACAATAAGAAGATCATCATATTTTTAGGTAAGATAATTGAATTTCCAGCTAACACTCCACGCAGTTTCACACAGCAAAAGATGGCCCCGATCCCTGCTGTCTCCTAGCACTGCTCTTAAAAAAATGGTAAAGAATGACTATTAATTCCTGCTAACCATTCAGAGCCAAAGGACGAACACTGACTGCTTAATAGAAACATACATTGTGACTCTCAGCACTTTGGGAATCATGCTACAAAAACAAGAGCCATCCATTAGGATCTTACTGTTGCTTCAACAGCTTCGCATTCGATTTGTCCTGATTAACCAGCCGGAGGAGAATCATAGCAACTCTTCCTGCAACTACCAACACATTTCAAACAAACGCTTTGCTTTTGAAATGGACGAGTCTGACTTTCCAGGTCAGGAATAAATGATGTTTAAAAATTCTTTTGCTGGGTTGCCTGGGTGGCTCAGTGGGTTAAACCCATGGCTCTTGATTTCAGCTCAGGTCATGAGATCGAGCCCAGCACGGGGCTCTGCCATGGGCATGGAGTCTGCTTAAGATTCTTTCTCCCTCTGCTCTGCCCTTCTCTCTTTCTCTCTCTAAATTAATTAATTAATTAAAAATTCTTTTGCTCTCTTGTCTAGCAAAAAAGTGTAATATGAATAGCCTTTATTTCTATGAAGTCAATGATTTGTCTTACAGTATAAAGTATACGAGAAGTTACATTTTGGAGAAGCTGAAGAAAGCAGTCTTTCTAAACGATTCACTATGGAACACACAAGCAAACATGCAGCGAATAAATGGATTTATTTATTTCTTTTGTGCCCTATTTTTAGTCTCCTCTGGGGAGTGAAGGAGTGAGGAAAATACACCAGGGCAATGAAAGGGGAACCTGTTCCCATTTTTTATTTTGATGCACTTCTTCAAAGTTCCAGTGCGTGTTCCAATGTCATCCCGTCCCCAGCTGCGATGTCGAGTATCCCAGCGTACGCAGAGGTACAGAAGGAATGGTGGCTGCCCGGGGGCATGAAATGCCTCCCTGGTGCCCCGTGTGGAACCCCGTGCTCTGTGCACAGGCATCAGGGGACTGATGCACGTCACACACTGTGCTTCCTACCTGCTGGGGGAAGAATGTTCCAGATGCCCTCACCTTTTCTCTACAACTCAAGCCTCCTTTCAGCATTAATAAGGCATATTATCCTTATCTGTGAATATCCTTTTTTTTTGAGAGAGAGCAAGAGCATGAGCGGGAGGGGCAGAGAGAGAATCTCAAGCCGACTCTGTGCTGAGCGGAGCGGGATGCGGGGCTCGATCTCATGACCCTGAGATCATGATCTGAGCCGAAACCAAGAGTCGGACGCTTAACCAACTGAGCAGCCCAGGGGCCCCTCTGTGAGTATTCTTTAAAGGGAAAAAAATACAACAAGAAAATCTCAGAGTTCTGTATTCAGGAACAACTATTACCAAAAGACTTACTTAAAAATTCTGGCAATGATTGAGTCGAGATGACTTCAGCTTCCTGCGAGTCTGTTTAACCATTCTATATGTGACCCCAGCTCCAGAGTGCTGAGCGCACACCGTCCCATGTTAGTGACACCCCCTCATTCCCTTTCTATTCCAGCCTCTGGGCACGGATGTGCACCCATGACCCCTACAGCCGCATGCGCCTCCCCCTTCAGACTATTTAAAGCTCATCCCATTATTAGTTGAAAACAAAGGAAAGGTCAAGGGGATAATAAAGAGAGAGACTGGGTGGTACAGACAATGAAGCCATCAGTCACTGGTCTGACGTTCCAGATTCCACGTCCTTCGCAGCAGGGGCATGAGGTGCCAACGTCAGCCCTGTAGTCCCTGCCTGTGTCGCCTGTGGTGGGCACCAGCACACACACCCAGCAGTTCTGAACCATCGGAAGGGAAGCTCTCGTCTTTGGCCTCATCTGTTCTCTTACATTGTCTCTTGGAGATGCCCCACTGCTTTTCAACCTGACATTTCTGGCGGCTTTTTGGTGATTGGTAGGTTTTACCAAAGCGATTAGCTGCCATGCTCTGTTCTGTTGCTTTATGGCCAGAAACGTCCAGGGACTCCTGGTGTCTGGGGCTTTATTCTGTTTCCCATTCCTGAGTCACTGTGAACTTCTCAAATGCTTTCAAAAGCTTCAAACCTCCTGTTCCCCACACTAGTCATGCATGGCATTCTGATGTTGTTCCAGGTGCTGAACAAAATCAGAACTGTACCCCACTGTTTCTGGGGAGCCCCCCAGGCTATTCTGTCTCACGTTAGTTCTTCCTTCTGGAAGGAGGAGCTCTCTCTCCTGCAGGCCGCTGGACTCTGCCAACCAGGGGGCCAGAGGAAAGAATGAACGTTTCCAGTGGTGAAGCTTTTGTCACGGAGTGAGGTGGGCGGGACGGTGACCTTTTCCGTGTGTGGCAGCTGAGAAGCAGCAAACGGGGTTACACAGCCCCAGACGAGCTGGGAAGTGGGTCTGAGGAACACAGACCACCTCCCAGCGAGGGGCCAAGAAACCAACACCCTCATCTGCTCTCCTTTAGCCCCCTCAGAAAGCCTGAATGACAAAGATGACGGACACACAGGCCAACAATGCGACTTCACGAGCTCCTCGTCCGCGCCATTCAAGGAGCCCCTCGGCCCCCCTCACGGGTCTGCCACCAAGCCCCGACAAGGGGAACGTCAGAAAGACTGATGTGTTTCCAGGGACTATGCTTAGTGTCTCGTCTTACCAAACACAGCGACATTTTTGCCAGGGAGGCTACTAGCACCCACCGTGACTCAGCTCGCTTGTTTAACTCCTGAGCCCGCGTGTTCGTCGCTTGCTGGTCACTCACCTTCCAGCCTTGCAGTTTGCACCGCTGGAGAACAAGGCGACATTTCTCCCCGGCAGACAGCAGCTGCTTCTCACCCGGGAGCATATGGGCCAATGGCTTGTACCTGGGAAAAGCAGCAGGAACACATTGAAAGCCATGACTGAGTTTGTCAAGCAAATGCTTCTGTTCAACAGGGTCGTCTCTTTCACACTGTTTCTTTAATCTTCCCCAATCCCTACTTGAGCCTCCGAGGCCCCAAATCTCCATCTGCTATGCACTTAACATTGTCCAACCGTGAGGTAACCCTCTTCTGTGACATGGAGAATGATTTCTAAAATGAGCCAAATAGATATTTCAATCCTTTAATGTATGTTTAACGCTATTATCATGGATTGATGGAAACCATTTAACAAAAGAAAACTGAAGAGAAGGAAAACTCACGGTTTTCATGTAAATTTTAGAATGCTCTTAAAAATATACCTTCTAAGGAATCTTAGAATTCCTTATGACCATTTGAAAGTGAAAGTGAAAGTTACAACCTATAATAAATGAGTATCGAAACGTCCAGAATTTTTAAGTGAGAGCTAGAGTAGCTTCTTCCCATTATGTTACATATTGAGAATTTTAAATCTTCTAGAAGGACATTTATTTATTTATTTATTTGAAAGTTCCTCTGAATAATTGACTGTCATTCCCTAGCTGAAATCCATAGCAATATAATGGTTTTCTATGGATTTTTTTAAAAATGCCCTTCAAAATTCTATCAGCCACTTAAAAAAATCTATATAAAATTTCCCTTGCATGCACGGTATTTAGCCTGACATAGAGGTAAAACTGCATTAGAAGAAGGAGGAGGAAGAGGGACAGAGAAGAAACAGGCAAGGATTTGTGCAAATGCTTTTAGTTGCACTGTGTTTATGATTCCCACGTTGAGCTGCTCTGGGAATTTAATGCCCAAAGGTAAATCACTTAAGTTCTCTGTGACTTTCTGTAAAATATCTTAGCTTTCCACCTAAAGTTTGTTGCAGCAAATTTGGCAACTTCTAAGATGAGTTCTTTGCTTCCCTAGAGCAAGGAAGGGAGCTCACTGCCTCCACGTGTTTATCGGCCAGGCTCCCTCCGAGCAGCCGGAAGAGGACTGGGCGTGAGTCCCCCTGACCACCACACCAGAGCGGGGCACCCCGCGGGGAGGTGCCCAGCACCGTGGGCGAGGCACAGAACGCACACTGAGAAAAGACACCTATTTTGAATTTTTCAATAGCAGACATTTATTTCCTTTTTTGCATCCTTAGCATGATCACTGAGCACTCAGTCTATTGGTTGTCCTGGGCTGAGAATGATCCTAATCTTGGTAGCCACACGTCAGACAAATGAAATACATCAACATCAGCCACAACCCTTCCTTCTCATACACAGATTTTTGCTCAAGAATCAAACTCAGGGTACAGGAGGGTGTAAAACTACAGGTAGCCAAGCCTGAACATAAAAATTATAGTGTCAGAGGCAAGGATATGAAAAATCTTGCTCATCATTTTGATTACACCAAATGGACTGAAATGATCTGTGGAATACGGAAGTATTTAGTGATTTTTTTTTTTTTTACAAGAGGCAAGAATGTGATTTCCTACCCAGTAAGCAATGGAGTTGGTATCTATCTTTTCTACTGGTCTTAGTGTGTGGTTGCTGCAGAAGAAACAAGGGTGTCTTCAGGGTAGAAGGGAACAGAGAGAATGGGTAGAATGGTGTGTGTGTGTGTGTGTGTGTGAGAGAGAGAGAGAGTGTGTTGTGAGAGTGTGTGAGTGAGTGTGTGAGAGTGTGTGAGTGTGTGTGTGAGTGAGTGTGAGTGTGTGAGTGTGTGTGTGTGAGAGAAGGGCCGGAACCGGGAGTATCATATGCAGAGGCCAGTGGGGTGGACCCTCCAGAAATGTGGGTGTATGACACACACACATCAGTGAGCAGACCAGATTATGGTTTATAATGTCTCAGTGGTTCAAAGGTGACAGGTGATGGACTTGCACAGTGGGTCTGAATACAGGAGAAACCGGATGGGGGACCTAAACATAGCCTCGGGGTCTAACTTTGCAGAGAATTGCTTCGAGACCCTTGGCCGGCCACTTTACAAGGAATACCCCCTCTCGGTTCCATCTGCATGTGTTTTCAGGATATGACATGAATTCTGTATTGTATTAAAAGCACAAGTCTAATTTCTATGGTTCCTCAAAGTGGGTGAGCTTCCCCAGGGGATGGACCATCTCTGTGCATTCCACGGTCTGCTGGATTACCTTTGCATGCAGCAAGTACTAATAAGTGATGGGAGACCAAGAAACCGGGCTGGGGGAATGCGGGGCGGGGGGGGGAGCGGGATGTGGAAAGTGTCATTTGTCAGGCACTGAACAGGAGTATGGGCTTTTCATACTCTTGCCAGATGCAGGAGGCCTGCATGGTAATCTTTCAACAGTGAGAAAGCTGACAGTCACAGAAATCAAGGCACTTGCCCAAATTCAAACAGATTATTTTATGGGTTGAATCGCGTTCCACCCCCCCCAAAAGATAAGTGGACATGACTTTCTTTGAAAGTAGTCTGTGCAGATATCATGCAGTTAAGATGAGCTCATTAAGGTGGGCCCTGGTCCAATAAGGTTGGTGTCCGTCTAGGAAGAGGGAATGCCACGTACAGACAGGGACACACAAGGAGAACATGGCATGATGAGGGAGACAGAGGTGGAGGGAGTGGGCTTCGAGCCAAGGAGCACCAAGGGTGACCGACCACACCGGAAGCTGGACAGAGGCCACGAAGGATTCTACTCAAGAGTCTCAGAGGGACAGAGCCCTGCTGACACCTTCATTTGGGATTCCCAGGCTGAAGAACTATGAGAGAGTGCATTTCTGTTGTTTGAAGTCCCCTGGTTTGTGGTGCTTTGTTAGGACAGCCCCAGCACACCGAGAGAGATGGTAATAGTGGCTGAGCAGGGATTTGAACCCAGGACCAGGTGACCCCAGAGGCAATCTCTCTCTGGAAGCTTCAAAGTCCCGTGTCCAGTCACACCTGTGCTCGGCACCCGTGCGCTGACATGGTTTAGGCAGGAACCAACAAGCCCCCAGCCCCAGATGGCTCTAGAGCAGAAAAGGAAGGGCTGGAGCATGAGAAACAGAAAAGGTTAACACTCAACATCATCAGCAGCACGCTGGACATGCAGAGATAAGAATTCTAGGTTCTGTGACCTTTGGGTGACAGGGCCTCTGATGGTAAACTCAAGCTCAGAATGAAATACAGACTCATTCAAGCGCTCAGGGAAGCCAGCACGTTCCTACCATTTAGCCAGAGTTACACAATGAAATGAAATCACTCAAATTATCTTTTTATTCTCTTACAATTGTCTCATTCTGTAGCTCTGCTAATTATCACTGAGAACTGAATTGACATAATTCAAGTATCTGAATACAGTATTAACAAGTCAGAACAAAGATCTTACACTGGGTGCTTTTTTCCCCTCATTTTATATTGTTCTTGTGACACCTAAAATGGTATAATTCTGACATTTCAACTGAAAAGACAAACACACCATCTCAGACAGAGTGAGGTACTCTATTTTAGTGTAATTAAAAACATCTTGTTATTTGGAATGTGAGTGTCATCTGTAGGTAGTGTCACAGGTCGATCACTGAGCTAACACAGGCTCTCACAGAAACTCCAACCGGAGACCGGGGGTATGAACGAGCCCGGGGCAGCGCACGGGTGCTGAGCACAGGTGTGCCTGGACACGGGACTTCAAAGCTTCCATTCCCTACACCCTCTTAGCCTCTGTTGCCCAAGAGCAGGTCACCTCACCCACCGAAGGTCTCTGTATTCAGGCTGGCACCTGCCTGTGTCTGAGACAGATCAACTGACTCTAAGATGTTGTGTCAAGTCTGCTAAACAGCCCACTGTTGCCTTGTCCCGGTCTGGGTTGCAGGGAATGATTGGGATCCAATTCCATGTCCAGAATCCGGGTGCCGGGGCTCATTCATTTGGGCTCATTCAATCAATCAACCAATACGAATGGCAATATTGCCTGAGTACAAAATATGCACATGGAATGCAGCAGGGGACAAATCAGATAAAAATCCTCACATCCTATGATAGAGACAGAAAGAATAGAAACATAAATGAGGAAGGAAGTCAGATACAATGAGAGAGATGGAGAAAAACGGGGCAGGAAAAGTTTCACTGAGAGTACGTATCTGACGGCAGGGAATGAAGCTGCGGAGCCCTCCGGGGATCGGGAATCCCAGTTGAGGGAACGCAGACCCACAAGCCCCGAGTGGGGTCATGCACACCTGTGTGAGCCATACCAGGCAGCCAATGTGGCTGGAGCTGAGTGAGCAGGCAGCCAATGTGGCTGGAGCTGAGCAGGCAGAGGGAAGGTGCTGGGGACAGATTCACAGGTAAGGGTGTGACCTCGCAGGTCACTCTAAGCACTCGGGCTTGGACTCTGAGAGCCCCAGGGCATGGTGGTTTGAGCAGACGGGTCCTACTATTTGACTCCAGAAGAGTCAGGGAAGCTGCCGGCCCGGGTGTGGGCATGTGAAGTGGACAGCCCGGGAGACTCTCCGGAGGAGCCAGATGCCTCAGGTCCATGGTCAGCCACCAACACGGCAGGGTTTCCTGATGGCTGGACGTGGATGCAGGAGGGAGGGGAGCGGCACCTGCAAAGCTGGAGGACAGAAGCGACATCCGTGGAGACGGAGCGCCCCGGGGAGAGTAGCTGCTCAAACCCAAGGGCGGTGGTCCTCGCCACGGAGGGGGACCGCAGGGAGATTCTGCTGGAGCCCCCAGGGGATGCACAGCCTCAGCCAGCACCCCGAAACAGAGTCACTGCTTGCCGGTTGCCAGTCGCTCCGCTGGGGTCCCTTTCGCCTGTCACGAGCCGCTGCCTCCTGGCCAGGACTGCGCGAACCGTCTGGGAGATGTCCCGGTGCTGGGTCCTCGTGTGCCCCCGAGGCCGAAACCAAACCCTGTGTCTCGCTTCCCTTCTGAACGCGTCTGCCGACTTTCAACTTCCCTTCCTCCAGCCTGCCCACAGCCCAGATGGCCAATACTTGATGAAGCCTGGGGTTTCATGGCGACTTCCAGCACAGTTACCG